GTTCTCGCCCCTCAGCGCCCCCCGTTAATCCCCCCTCAATCTGGGGCGGGGGCGGGGGGGGGGGGCAGGGGGCCGAGGGATTTCCTCCCCCCTATTGTTCTCGCCCCTCAGCGCCCCCCGTTAATCCCCCCTCAATCTGGGGCGGGGGCGGGGGGGGGGGGCAGGGGGCCGAGGGATTTCCTCCCCCCTATTGTTCTCGCCCCTCAGCGCCCCCCGTTAATCCCCCCTCAATCTGGGGCGGGGGCGGGCGGGGGGACCCCCCCAGTCCCGCCGGTCCATGGTGAGGCGGCGGCGCCGGCAGCACCCAGAGGTGAGTGTGGACGGGGGGAGATGAGGGGGGGGAGCGGCGGTGGCGAGGGGAGGGGGCGGGCGGGTGGGTGGGCTGGAGGGAGGGAGGGAGGGCAGCGGGAAGGGGTCCCCCCTCCCCGGCACCGCCGGGAGTCGCGCCGAGCCGGAGAGCGGGATGTGCGTGAGGGGGGCACCCGGGGGCGGCCGCGGGTGGGCAGGGGCAGCCCCTCAGCTCGGGCGGCGGAGTTGGAGCCGCGGCTTTGGGGGGCTCCGCGGAGAAGGAGGAGGAGAAGGGTGTCCCCGGGAAGCTGCTGCGGGAGGGCAGGGCAGCTTTGGGGGTTCGCTGTTCCTGCCGCTTATTTATTTATTCGGATTCCTCCCATCTCCTCCTTGGGTGTGGGGGGCACGGGGCGGCGGCGGCCGAGCCCTCCCAGCCTGGGTGGGTGCTGGGGCTTGGGGGGTGTCCGGGGGTTTGTTCGCCGCGGAGTTTGGGGCCGGGCTGGTGCGACCCCCGGCACTCCCCGTGCCCGGGACCCCCGGGGGCGGCAGGGGAAGGAGGGAGAGGCTCCGACCCTGCGGGGATGGAACCCTGGCTGGGGGCGTGCGAAGGCTCGGGGGGCTCCTTTTGGGAGTTTTGTGGAGGTGGATGGACGAGGGGTCGGGGCTGCCCCAAACCCCGCTGGTTGCGGGATCTGTTGCAGCTCCCGGGGCTTTGGGGAGGGTTTTCGGGGAGGGCGAAGGCGTGAACCCGAAAAGGGTGTCTGGTTGCTGGAGAGTTTTAACGTGGGGACGGGTTGGAGGGGGGGAGGAGGAGGACCCGGGAGGGAAGTCATTCCCAAAATGTGCGAGGAGAGCTTGGGTGGGGTGTCAGACGCTTGTTTTTTTTGCACTCCTTGGGAAGAGGTGAGGGGTGGGGGGGGTGGGGGTAAAATGCTTTTGTAGCCGTGCCTGGGATCTTTTTTTTGGGGGGGGGGGAAGGGAGAGGCAGAACAGTGTGTTTGACCGCAGGAGCGGTCGGGGGAAGCGGCTGGGAATTCTGCTGGAAGTGTTTTCCTCTGCTCCGGGGTTAAAACTAAACAAGAGCCGAGCGTATTTAGGTGCAGAACACACACCCGAGCCAGACCCCGCCGAGTTCTTCGACCTCAGTTTTGTCTGATGGGTTCTTTTTTTCCCGGTTGTTAGAGCGTTTCTTGGTATGTTTGCAAAGCACTTCTTCGGAAGCATTTCGTTCTTTGCGATAGGTCTGGAAAAGCCTTGCTTGCATGTGCTGGTTTTTTTTTCCCAGTTCCTTCGTGCTGGGGACAAAAAAAATGCTCTTTTTGGGGGTGGGGAAGGAAGAAGGAAGAGGAAATGAAGGTTTAAGCATGTTTGTGGAGTCAGGTCTCTCTCAATTTGTTCTGCTCAAGTAACAACTGTGGGAGTGTGACTCGGTGGCTTTTAAGTGCCGAACGTTTATGAACAAAAACTGCGGGGATTTAAACTTTATAGGGAGGAAAGTGTTAAACTGATGGGAAGGCACGCGTTTGCGAGAGCGGATCTCAGAGACACTACCTACGTGCCCCTGCTTCAAACTAGTGGGGATGGAGGGGAAAAAAAAAAGAAAACCGGTGGGGGAAAAAAACCCAAAACAACCACCCTACAATTTGCATGAATGATGCCACGTAAAATACCGGAGCGAGGAATTGTGCTCTGCAGACGAAAGCCTGAAGTCCCGTGATATGACTCGCTCGTTTCTGCAGGGCTCATCAGGTACAGGCTCTGCTTCCTTCCTGGGATGGTGCAGCTGGCATTTGATTTCCTCCATGGATGGGAGAGGAGGAGTCCTGAGCAGGTTTTTTTCCCCGAGATGATTGCATTTTCCTTGGCCTTGCTGTACCCGGCCTCATTAGTAGGAGCTGCATCTATATTTATTTACCATTATACCGTGTCCCTTGGGAAGTGGGGTGTAGTTTGGAGTAGGTATATATGGATTTATCACTCCTAACGTGTTTTTTTTTTTCCCTCCTGTCATGGTAGGACCAAATCCGTCAACAGCGGAGAACAAACTTAATTTATTTCTGCGTTTTGCATCTCCCTTTTTGCCATTCCTCTCCCAGATTGCTGGAGAAAACATCTCGGAGATGCAGGCAGGGGAGAAGGAAGGAAGGGATGGGAAATGTTCTCTGTGCAGGGATGTGTGTGTTGTCTGCATGTCCTGAGAGCAGCGGGCTTGGAAAGGGCAGGGTTTGATTCTGCAGGTGAAAAACGGGGGTTTGGGAGAGCTCTTTTCCCCCTTTTTGTGAGGATTATTCTTCACCCCCACGACGGCCACAACTTTTTGTGTCTGGTTGACAGAATTACCCAACGAGCCCGGGCATGAGGCTGGGAACGAGGAAACTCGAGTTTCACTCAGCCTGTGCTTCCTCCCCTTCTCACCAGAACAGGCATCAGCGTTTTTCCTCCTGTGTCATCCCACTGTTGGGAGCAGGTCTAGACGACATTGTGGTGTGCAGGCTGCCAGCTGGGCTCCAGGAATGCTATCCTAGGTGAAACAGCAGGATTTTTAGGGAGGGGTAAGGAAACCTGGAAGAAAACCCCGCGTGGATGAGGCCTGGTTGTCTCTAGAACTGCTTTGCTGAGCAGTCTCAAGCGGTCCCTTTCATTTGTTGACCTTTCTAGACAACGTGCATCTCTCTAGAATTGTGATTCCGATAATTCCATGGAATTTGTGCCCGGTGTCAGCTGCAGAAAGCTTATTTTGCAGGCAGCTTCAGTGTGAGTCTTACTGGTCTCTTTTAGAAGGATATTAAAAGTTCAAGGCTATCCAGTGTTTTGAAAATTAAATTATTGTGAAGTGTTTACTTTATAGTGATAATCCCTAAGTTCATGGGAGTGTTTGGTATGTTTTCTCATCGCTCTCTGGAGCTGGGAAAACAGTGGGGTTCTGACATTCACTTTTAAAGCTAATTTAATTTTTAATAAAATGAATTTTTAATGAGCATGACTGTCAGGAATTGTTCCGTCGTTAACTTCTGGGACTGCTCTTTTTTTTTTTTGTTGTGTGTCAGTGGGGCAGTGGTGAAATTTGGGTCTTTGGGCGGGGAACTGGAAGAATTAATGAAACTGAGCCACGAGAAAGGAGGAGGCTGTGCTGTCCCTTTCACCGAGGGATCTCTGAAGATGTTTGGTTTAATGTGCTAGAAAATCAATCAATTTTCATGGAACAACAGCTCATTTTAATCTAAAGAAAGCAGCTTGAGCTTCACAGTGATTTCTGTGCAGAGCTTTTAGGGACGTTGCGGGATGACACGTTACAGTGTTGGGACGTTGCGGGATGACACGTTACAGTGTTGGGATTCTGTGGCAAATATTTTTCATCTTCTTCAAAGTTTAGGATTTGAAATCAAAATGCTGTCAGGTTAGGAATTTTACTGCAGAAAAAAAGATGCCTTTGTTCCTCCTGTCGATAACTTTGTGCAGCGCTGACAGTTCTAAAGTCCCTGAAGTTGATTCCATGTTATACTGATTTTAGCGGAGCAGGGATTGGATTTTGCATCCATGTCCTTGTGGGATTGAGCTTTAATTATACCTGTGCTGATAACTTGATCTTGTGGGTTATCAATGCAGTGAGACTGATACTGTGATTACAGTGGGATTTTTGGGAGGTAAGGAGGAGAATTTGATTTTTTGGGGCGTCTTAACTCATATCTCTAAAGCTGGTTTCATACATAAGGTTAGTAATAAACTGTGTTTATCATTCTAATATTCCCATATTGAGTAAAGCTCCCTTCTGACTCCTGTTAAATGAGGATGGCTGGGGAGCAAAGTGTAGGAAGAGTTTGTATGTGAGCACTCAGTCATGTGGAGGCTGTGAATGCAATTCCCAGTGTTAATGCTAAAGATAAGTGTTTTGACAAATGCTTTTAATTTGGGGAACAATGCAAGCAGGAATGACAGGATATGAAAGGAAAGTGTTATTTTTCATCTGGCAGGTGGCAAACCAAGGTGTAGAGGGATTAACTTGCCCAGGCTCCTGCACGGAGTCAGCGGCAGAACTCAGCGGCAGAACTCGTAATCAGTCTCTGATCTCAGGGGTTTGCCAGGGCTTAAATCAGGGTTTTTCTTTCTCCCCTCATTAATTGGCCAACTTTCACATTTTGCAAATAACATCTAGAGATTATTTCTCTTTCCTCCAGTTTCAAACTCTAGAGCCTGGAGGTTCTTTTTTTTTTTTTGGTTGTTTGTTTGGTTTTTTTTTTGTTTCATTTTCACTGAAGCCTTGAAAACACAAGGTTGGAGAACTTGATCTGAGCAAGCACCTCCCTGACATATGACACTGTCTCGAAACAGCCCCTGACGAGTGAACCCTCTCATTGAAATCATGTGAGGAATTTTATTACTCAACTCTGAAGATCTTCTGGAGGAAAGGAGGTTGCAAACTATTAACTCCGTGGTCTTCACTGCAGGCTGGCAGATAAAATGTTCTGATGTGTTGGGGCAGTCATGTGGTTCCACAGCGAGAAGCAGTTGCTGACCAACTGAAAATTTCGTCTTGTCACTCCGAGAAACACGTTTGTTTTTGTGTTGTGCCTGCTAAAAAAGAGATACATTCACTTGGAATCTGGTCTTTTTTTAAACATGCAAGTGGTCGATTCCTTTCCCCTCTCGACCGGGCGCTTACCCGGCGTTAGTCCGTGACCGTAAAAGCACGTGGGGAAGATTTTCTCATGGACAGCTTCAAATTTTAGTGGGTTTGGGGTGCTTCTGTTCTTTGCTGCTGCAGTTGGGTTTGCCAGGGGCTTCTTGTTGCTACAGGCTGAGCAAAGGGCTCGTGTCACAGTTGTGGAGCTGCTGCCGTGACAGTTACGGCCTCACAAAACCAAACCTCGTTGGGAGCGATCGATTTACGGCCGTAACTCCTGTGCTGGCTGGTGGAATATGGGTCTGCTGGTTCTCATTCCATCACTGTGGCAGAGCCACTGTCCTCCTTGGCTATTCCATGATAAAACAGTGCACTGTACCTCGGTTTGGAAGTGCTTGGCT